TCTCTGTCTCTCTCTGTCTCTGTCTCTCTCTCTCTCCCCCCCCCCCAACATTCAGGCAGGTATCTGCCTTTCCTTTCTCCTGGGGGATGTCTGTGCCCGTGTTGGCACCCGGTCCTGCTTCCCGGAGCAAGGGCCCCCAGGAAGGTAGATTGGAATAGAGGAAGAAGAGAAGAGGTGAGAGGGACCCCCAACCCAGGATCCTTCATGGCAGGGGTGGGGGAGCCCTGGGATCTCTCACATGGTGGTAGGATCATATAAGGATGACTCTGGGGATGGAGGGACCAGTGGCTGGACCCCAGGCGTGAAAGCTTGTGAGGGGGCAGTAGGGATATTCCCAGTGTGCCTGAGATGCTGAGGGGCTGCTTCCCCCAACTGGGCCGAATGTGAGAGCGAAGCCCCAGAAGTGGAGGAGTAACCATCTTGTCTTAGAGTCCAGTTCTTCTTTTTCTATTTATTTATTTATTTATTTATTTATTTGCGGAACCGGTGATTGAATTCAGGCCCTTCCACTCGCTAGGCAAGTGCTTAGTCTACTGAGCTATCCCCTCAGGGCCTCAGAGTCCAGTTCTTGCGACTGAAAAGCTGGGTAATAATGTTTGGACCAAGCTTGTGTGCTGAGTGTGCTCACTCTCAGAGGAGAGGTAATTATGGAGGGGAGCCAGTGCTGGGCTGAGAAGGAGCCAGGGAGGCAGAAGAGAGCTGGGGCAGACCCAGGGCCTGGGCTACTACTGCCTGACTGTCAGGGCCAGCAGCCCACAACAGCACTGCTCCCCTTGAGGAATAAACAAATACCATCTTTCAGAATGAGCTTCCTGCAGTGAATGTTAGATCTTGTAATTTCAATCCCAGACTCCATTTGCTTTGCCTAACTCGGAAGCTGCCCTCAGGGCCCTGTGGGCAGTGGCCTCAGAGAACATGGCTCTTGTGAGAGGAGGAAGAGAATCCGCACAGTGGCTATCGCCTGCGCCCCACTGCTCTGAGGGCCTTCTTGGTTTTCTTCCTGCATTTCATGAAAATGATACAGGGAGCTCCACAAGGCAGGTGCCCCCCTCAGAATGTGGCCCGGGCTCTGCTCCTCTCCCCTGAGGAGAACCATATCCCTGAGGTCTGCAGGGCCAGCACTCTGTCCTCTTGAGCTGGGGGAGGGTACAGTATGCTCAGGAGTGGAACAAGGCTAAGGGCAGGAACTTGTCAGTACAGGGGCTCTCTGGGTGTACGAGCGAGTAGCCTGGCAATGCCCCCAGGGAGTGACGCAAATATGCCACTCCCAAGATCCCAGGTGGCAGTGGCCCAGGCTGAATGAAGCAGAAATTCCAGAATCTTCCTGGCAGACAGGAAGGGAGGGAGGCTCAAGTGTCTAGAGGGTGGCATGTGAGAGGGTGGGTGAGGCCCCCCCCATAAGCATCACAGAGGACCTCACAGCTCCCCAGGGGTGGCAGGGTGGAGGGGCAGCACCATGGAGCACTGTGGAGATGTTTGACAGAGGAACCCCAGGGAGACAAGGATTAGTCTTCATGAGCTGGGGGCTGCCTGGTACGTCGTCTGTCCTTGGCCAATTTTATTACGAGAGCCCACTGAGGGAGGCCAGACTCCAGGAAAAGAGCCTGTCTGCACAGGGCTGCACCCTGGGCTCAGGGAGGAGGCGGCCTGGCCCAGCACTGATCTTACAGGCCTAGGTGGAGCGGGCGTATTTGCTCCAGCACCGTAGAGGCCAGCAGAGGCCAGCTACAGGATCACACCCTGAGTCCTGGAGAGAGGAGAGGCGGCCCCGTGGCTGTGTTGCGGTTTAGATTTGGAGTGTCCCCAGAAAGTCCTGGGTGCTCAGAGGCAAGGCTTTGAGAAGAAGACTGCCATCGCGAGGTGCTCCAGCAACTTGCTGTTGCGAGGCAGGGGCTGGTTACAAGAGGTTGACTGGTAGGGTTAGGCCCTAGAAGGTGGTATCTCCCTTCCCGTCTCCTCCCCTCACTTGCTACTTCCTGGTGGGCGTGACAGGACCAGCTTTTCCTAGTGACAGGCCCTTCCACCAGACCATTGCTGCCTCAGAGCTGGCTGATCATGGACTGACAATGGGAGCTAAAATAACGCTGTGCTCTTTCCGGTTATGGGTGTTGGGTGTTGTATTCTAGCAATGAGAAAGTGACTAAGATAGCTAAGGGACTATTGCCTCTGCCTAGCTGAGAACACTAAGATGGGGGAAGAAGAAAGTAGGGTTACCAATATAGCCCAGAGGGAGGCAGACCTGGGCCCATAGGCAGTGGCTGCCATACTGGTTGCACCAGGATATTAGTGCCTCAGGATTTTAGGAATGTGTTGCAGGGATTGTGGCGGATGCTGAGGATATGTACTGTACTTCTGAGGAGGGAGACCCAGGAAAAGGTCACCAGTTGTCCTTGGCTTGCTGGGGATTGAGGGGACTCCTGGGGTAGGGAAACTTTAGGCTTTAAACCAGGAAAGTACTAAACAGGACCAGTGGTCACCTAGTGGTGAGGACAGGAGGTAAGAGCAGATCTGTGGATCTGAGAGAAGATCTGAGGAATTGGGCAGGGATCTAACAAGGTGAGGGAGAATCTGGGGGGAAGAGAGTTGATTTGAGGGGGTGAGGGCAGGTCTGAGGAGGTGAAGGTGCATCTATCTGAGGGGTGTGGACCTGAGGATGTGAAGGTGGGTCTGAGGAGGTTTGTGTGGAGTTGAGGTTTGTGTGGGTCTGCGGAGGACTGTGTGGATCTGAGGAGGTTTGTATGGGTCTGAGGAGGTAAGGGTAGGTCTGAAGTTTGTGTGGGTCTGAGGAGATGAGGGTGGATCTGAGGGTGTGATAACAGACAGTGGTGCACTTACAAGTCTCAACTTGAGCATATCTTGCTTATAAATATTTTTCCAATTAATTAAAATTTAGTGACATATGCTACCATAAAAAGATCACATCTTTTCTGTTTTTAAGTATGTAGTTCAGTCATGTTAAAGGTATCCATACTGTCAGCACTGTCCTGAGTTCCTTTCAGTGCTCTATGTAAAGCTAATTTTTTTTGAAGGCCTTCCAACTAGCTCAGCGAATTGAAGCACCTACTTAGGCAGATGCAGGGGCCAGGAGCCTGATCCTCAGGCCTGCCGTGCTGGCCCCAGCCCGGAGCGTGCTGAGATGGCCATTGAGCCTGGGCGTGGTGGCGCGCAGCTGCAATCCCAGCGCTTGGGAGTCTGTAAACAGGAGGATCACTACGAGTCCGATCTATGTAGCGAGACCCTGTAGACCCTGCACTTTCCCCACAAACAACCTCTGTGCAACTGAGAACCTAGAGTTATACTTCATTCCCAGCTCCTAATCAGTCTTTAATGTATGAAAAGATCTAACTGTTAACCTCCCGTGAGGAAATTCACATCTCAGTAGCCTTTTAAGGCGGCTTCTTCAAAGTCAAAATAATTCCCACAGGTTATTTTTAATGATCTTGTTCTATGATTTGCAGAAAAAACATCCAGCAGAGGAGAATACTTTGTGTGCCTGTAAGCCCTGCCTAGGACACCCCAGCCCCCTGTCCATCCCTGTCTGCCTCTACTGCCCCCAGCTACCAGGGGAAGACTGGCTTTGGGTTCCTTTTAAAATGAATAGGTCAGTGGCTTTTTGTCCTTTCCATTGCCAACCACCACCCCTATCTAGATTGTGTGGATCTGTGGAGGACTGTGTAGATTTGAGAAGGTAAGGGTGGGTCTGGCCATCTTTTACTGGCCATCTTTCCACTGTCTCTGTTGTTTTACAGTTTCAGTATGTGTCTATGAATGGCTTTAATTTATTCCGTTTGGGATAAGACGCAATTATTATTAATTTTGATTCCTCGAGACAGGGTCTTCCTGCATAATTCAGACTTCCCTTGAATTCACTACAGCCCAGGCTGGCCTCAAGATCATAGCAATCCTCCCACCTAGGTTGTGTGGATCTGAGGAGATCATTTTTGTCCCCCTTCCCCTGGGAATATTGTACCACAGACCACACCCTCTTCCCCCTGACAGCTCCGGGCAACCTCTCAGCCCCTCCCTGTCTCTGTGCATCCCCTGTTCTGGGTATCCCATGTCCACAGATCCTCTACTATGCAACCCTTGTGGGACAGCTTCTCTTGCTGGCTGTCACGTTGGCAAGGCTCCTCCATGCTGAAGCACGCCTCAGCGCCTTGTTCCTTGCCTGGCCTCCTGCCCTTCACAGTCCCAGGGCGGGAGGCACACAGGTGGTTTCTCTGTTCTTTGCCCTGCGAGCAAAGACCAGGAATCACCCGCCATGCGGCACTTTTCACAGGGAGGCCAGGGTGAGAGTTACGAGGGCACCGACTGCCCCCTCCTTTCTGTGGCTTCCGAGAGTCTGTCTAGGCTGTCCTTTTCCTTCATATGATCCTAAGTTTTTTTTTTTTTTTTTTTTTTAAAGATTAAACACTCATTTACATATTTTATTTGGAAGTGTTTACACCAGTACAGTGAAACTAAAGTTTAGAGAACATATGTGATTAGTTTAGATATCATCAGTTTATTATAAAAGAGACATGGAAATTATGTACATGATGAAAGACGCAGAACTTCAGTGGAATGGGCAGCATTGTGTGACGCCACTTCAACAGTGATTTACTTCACTCTACGTATTTTCCAAGAATGTCACCATCTCTAAACAAGAAATAATCCTTGTCGTCTAGAACTACTTTGGTGCCTCCATATTCTGGAAGAAGAACTTTATCTCCAACTTTCACACTAACTGGTTGGATCTCTCCACCCTTCCCCTTGGAGCCGGACCCCACAGCGACCACAGTTGCCTGCAGCACTTTGCCTTGAGATTTTTCTGGAAGCATAATGCCTCCTTTGGTGACAGTTTCAGCGGCGCTCCTTTCAACCAACACGCGGTCAAACAGCGGGAGAAACTTCCGAAATGCCTGTCCTGCCATGGCTCCTGCCCCGCAGCTCGCTGCACCGCCACGCCGCCTCCGCAAAGAGAAACCTACTCTTCTGCCCCTGGACACGTCCTAAGTTTTTAAAAAAAATGCGTCTTGAAATATTTGAGCAAATCGTTGTCCAAACCCTGGAAAGCTGGTAAACAACACAGTCTGGCAGCCTCCCTCCCCGCTCCATGTGACAGGAAGATCTTGTGACCTCTGCTCCTCCCTCCTCATCTCCTTTCTGCTGCTTTATCTAAATGTCTCAGGCTAGCCATTCTTACTGTTTTTCAAGGCACTGTTTATACTTGGCAGTGCATTAACCTCTTATTTTTTTAGACCTTTCTTCTGGGATATTTTTTCTTTTCCCTGAAATAAACCTTTTAGAAGTGGGTTTCATAAGATTCTGAGGCTACCAAGTTTTCTCAGGTTAGTTTGCCTCCACACATCTTGTTTCTCCTTAACTCTGGAAGTGGAATTCGGCTTCATCTACAATTTAGGCTGAGACAGGGCGTGGTGGTGTGCACCTGTAATCCCAGCTCTAGGGAGGCTGAACACAGACCGATCACTATGAGTCCAATCTGTGTAGTGAGACCCTGTAGACCCTGGACTAAATACTTAAAACAAACAGACAAAACAAAACAAACCTAGGCTGCTCCGCCTTCCTGCCCATCATTTGAGACCGCAGTCCGTCCTGAATAGCTCTGTTCCTTGCCAGGAAGAGCCTGCTGCTGTCCGACTGTCTGTCCTCGTGGCTAGTCTTTCACTTTTTCCAGCTCTTTGTGCATCTTTCCACTGTCTCTGTTGTTTAACCATTTCAGTATGTAGCTGTGAATCACTTTGATTTATTCTGTTTGGGATAAGACACAACTATTATCCTTAATTTTGATTTCTTGAGGCAGGGTTTCACCGCATAATTCAGGCTTCCCTTGTGTTCACTGTGTAGCCAGGCCGGCCTCAATATCCTCCTGCCTCAGCCTCCTGAGTGCCGGGATGTATGGATGTGCCCCAACTACTGGCTGACATACTTCTTAACTTTGAGAGCTCATGTGTTTTATCAGTTCTGAAACATTTTAGCTATTTCTCTGCTTCATTTTCTCTTTCTGGAATCTCTGTTGGGTTTGTTTTAGACTTTCTCCTTCTAGTCTCATGTCTCTTCTTTTATTTTATTAATTTTATTGAGAAATAAATACCAATGAGACAGTTTCAAAACTGATTAGTAAGGCAGTTTCAATAATTAATACATCACATATTGTTGTCTTCCTAGTGGTTATTCATAGTACACGATGCAGACATGATATCCTGTCCAAGCACTGTTAGTACAAATCTTTCTTCTCATTGAATTAAGAGAAAGTAGCTGCATATCTATCTTAACTATTTTGAATATACAGATACAAAATGGTTGCTCATTTGTATCCCCTTTTTTGTTTAGTTTTGTCAGAGGTGG